CACTTCCGACCAACTATCTTTGTGATTATACATTTTGTATGTATATAATGAGAATACTGTGCATTACATGTAGAGCTCGACCGATAAAGGATTTTGAAGGCCGATACCGATACAAATATTTTTTGGTTTTAAAATCCGATATTCCGATATATCGGCCGATTTTATTTATTTTTTTTCAGAAACGCGCAACAAAACATTAACAGATTTCCCTAACATTATACAACTTATTTAACAGCAGCAAAACTGGACATGATAGTCACAAATTTTGTCATGCTTATTTGAGTTAAGAGAACTGATGGGGATGTTCTTTTAATTGTTATTCAAGCAATGTACAACGTATGTATCGTGACCAACTCAACGATTGTTGCCGACAGGAATGGTGTAGAGTGCCCTCTGGTGGACAAACTATACAACTCCAACACTCATGACATGGTTCAAGCGTGTTTCGTCCGTTTTTATTTTATTTTTGAAATATTCATTTATCGGCCATTATAACTGCCGATACCGATAGTTTGAAAAATGCCTAATATCGGCCGATAATATCGGTCTGCCGATATATTGGTCTGGCTCTAATTACATGTATAGTATGCAGTTAATGTTTTGTGGCTTCTGGTCTTTCCTGTCACAACATAACTGCATCCAAGACTTGCACTTTGATACTTGAATACATTTTGGAAAACTGTGGCAGGAGGGAAACAGGCTGATAGTTATTAAAATAATGTTTGTCCCCTGACTTCAAAAATTGGTATGACTTTAGCAGTTTTCATTTGCGATGGAAAATGACCAAATTGAAAGGATAAGTTACAAGTATATGTAAATGGGTTTATAATTTCTTCTGCAACATTACGAACAATCCTCATATCGATATTATAAATGTCTGGGGAAATTTTGTTCTTGCAATCCCTGATTACTTTCATAACCTCGCTCTCATCGGTTGGAGTGAGGAACATGGTGTTGGAATTGATATCAATTAGTCCCTTAATCTGCTCATTAGTGGATGGAATTTTATGCACCAGATCAGGTCCAGCATTGACAAAAAAATAATTAAATCTATCCGCGATCATTGTTTTGTCTCGTATAATTGTGCCATTTTCCACAAAATAATCCGGATAACATGAGCTGCTAGAACCACGACCAATAACGGTGTTCGATAAAGTTGCTTTAATATCATATTTCTTCTTGATCAATAAATCAGTATAATATTCTCTCCTACTTGCTCTCAATATACTAGTTAATTTATTTTTATATGTTTTATACTTATGTTCAGTTTCACTAGTTCTATACCTTGTCTATATAAAACATTTTTCTTTTTACACGAGTTTGCAAGCCCTTTTTTATCCAGGGTGTTTTAATATGTTTCCTTATTGTGCATTTTTAATAGGACAGTGTTTATTGTAAAGTGTAATAAAAATATCAAGAAAAGCATTGAATGCTGCATCTACATCGGACAATAGATAAATGGATTCCCAGTTTTGGCTTGCTAACTCGTTTTTTAGTGCAATAATTAATTGGTCAGTTATGACTCTACGGTAATATTCACTTTGTACAGTTTTAGATAATTTACAATTAAGATCGTATACCATGAACACTGGTAAGTGATCACTGACATCATTCACTAACAAACCACCTGTTATATTATTGTCCAAGATATTACAGAATATGTTATCTATCAGCGTAGCACTATGTGATGTTTCTGGTCGGTCTGGTGATGAGTGGGTATGTTGTGGCAAAAACAATAACTAACAAACAGCATCACAGCGTAAGAGACACCAATTCCTATTGTATATAAAAGATATATTTCTTGCAAGAAAGATCCCACTCTATCCTCACAGGCCAGCTGCAGGACAGAATGAGACCACGAGGAGGGGTATCTCAGCACCTTTATAGTGTTTATCTCTTGTAACAAAGGATCTTTGATTACGTTAAGACACCTTTGAAGTCAGAGGTCACTACCCAACAACCTCCTGAGGGTCTCACACCCACTCCACAGCTGCATCAACAGAAAACAGGTCTTCTGTTCTCGTAATTCAAGAATACAGATAAAGAGCACATGTCAATATTAAAATTGTCCCACTACAGTCCGCTCTGTCCATCCGAACCCTGTGAAGAGAACCAGTTCTGTGAATCCCTACCTGCTCTCTGTCTGCCTGAGTTCTGAGAAGAGCCAGCTATACTGCTGAAACCTCACCTTCCTTCAGCTTGCTGGAGGTTGTTTTAACCTAATTTATTCAATAAAGAGTCTGTGTTTTTCTTTTTTTTTTTTTTTTTTTTTATTGTTTGCCCACAATAGAAAATAATTTACATTTACAGAATCAAAACAAAGTTCTATTTGTATTACAAGGTGTACACAACATAAAAGACAGTAATAATTGAAAAAAAATTAAAATTACTACACATAAACAAGGTCACATTGACTTAGCATCCTTTAGATTGGAAGTTAAGGGAGTTCCTTTATATAATCCCAAAGGGAGGACCATATGGACCAAAATCTGTCAGATTTTTTATGTTTATCGTAAGTGAGCTTTTCAAGTGGTAACCATGCAGCGATTTGTAATATCCACATTTTGAAGGATGGAGCCTGCGATGCAGACCAAAGTAACAAAATGCAAAGAGTCTGTGTTTTTCTAAATTACTTTTGCCTCTGTGTCCTCTGTGGTGTTGGCTCCTTGCGGTGGTACGTGAGTCAGGGGTTGGGACGGCTGGTCATCTGGCGTCCAGCCTCCCCGATCCGTGACACCTGCACTTATTGTTCACACTTCAGACTTCAATGAGTTTAGTTATGAGGTCACACACAGCCTCAATCAGAAGTTCTGGAAGTAGTCCAGTCATTTTATGCCAAAATGGGGGTCAACCTTGAACAAATTGCAACAGAAGCAAACTCAACTGATTTTGTATCCTCAATATATCCTGAGTAAGGAAAAAAAAAAAGCCCCGAAGAATCCCATTAGGGAAAAGTTTAGAAAAAGACCCAAATACATCCCATTCATTCGCCTATGCATTCTTTTTCTCATGTGAATAGGGTAAAAGTTTTAACCTTTAGATATCATCATGAAAATCACTGAGTTGATTACTTGCATCAAGACAAACAAAAAATTTATTACAAGTTTTTTGCAATTGTTTGTTAACATGGACAAATGGTGCATAATCTAATTACATATACTTGCTAATTTGCATAATAACCCAAACAGATCTAAACATTGGGTATGTTTTTTTTAATCTTGTTTACATATAACAGTAAAAGACTTAATATTAAGGTCTGATTGGAACCCATTTAGGCTACCCATGTACATTAATACAGGAAGAAGTGCTTTAGAAACCAGCCTTTATTAATTATTATGGCAGAGATGGGGTTTGGGGCTGGGTCAATGGGACTGTTTCTGGGGAATGAGTCTGAGGGAAGAACAGGAGGCATGGGGAAGGAGAATGCAGAAGACAAAAGGTAGGTGAAATAAAAAGTGTCTGGATCAAAAAATCTAATTACGTACACAATGCACTCAATGCCCAAACCCCATCTCTGCCATATAAAGGCTGGTTTCTAAATCACTTCTTCCTGTATTAATGTACATGGGTAGCCTAAATGGGTTCCAATCAGACCTTAACATTAAGTCTTTTACTGTTATATGTCAACAACATTCAAAAAAACATTTTCATCTGCTATACCCAATGTTTAGATCTGTTTGGGTAATTATGCAAATTAGCTAATACGTAATTATATTATACACCGTTTGTCCATGTTAACAAACAATTTAGAAAAACTTGTAATACATTTTTTGTTTGTCTTGATGCAAGTAATCAACTCAGTGATTTTCATGATGATATCTAAAGGTTAAAACTTTTACCCTATTCACGTGAGAAACAGAATGCATAGGCGGATGAATGGGATATATTTGGGTCTTTTTCTAAACTTTCCCCTAATGGGATTCTTCTGGGCTTTCTTCCTTACTCAGGACATATTGAGGATACAAAATGAGTTGAGTTTGCTTCTGTTGCAATTTGTTCAACCTTTTTTCATAAAATGACTGGACTAAAGCTCTTAAAGGGGTGATGAACTGAGAAATCAAATTTTCCTTGAGCTTTTGACATCTAAGAGGTCATCATATTATAAGAATATCCTGTAAGTTTCAGAACTGAAAATGTCATTGTTAGTCCAATATAAGCTTTTATTGACACCAGCCCCAGCAAACGACTCATTTTTCAAAGTGGGGAACTATGACGTCAAAGAGGATAAAACACCACCCCCGTCGTTTACTTCCAGGTCTTCAGTGCGAGACGCCCATAAAAACTGAGCTTTTCTGAGCTGTGCTGAAAACTAGGGTAGAAAATAGCTTATTAGTTATTTATTTTGATGGTTTTGAATGCAAAAACCAAGCGAACGTCATAAGTTCACTTCAGACAACAATATAATACAATTTAAAAAGCCAGTTCATGACCCCTTTAAATGTACAGTAAGGCCTGAAGAAGAGACTCATGTGAAATCAAACAGGAGAAACGCCAGTCAATAAAAACCTTTTACAGTGCTTGTAAATTGTTTTCTTTCAATGCATTTGATAATACATATACTCATAAAGTAGACCTGAAATGACATGCATTAGAAGATTATTAGTTAAAAGATTGAAAAATGCACCTGCATACTATTTTTCCAGTCATGAATTTTGTAACTGAGGATTTCTGAAAAACTGTGCAAAAATCTTGTCTCGTCTTGTTGTCGTGAACCCAATCTTGTGTCTGGTCTCGTGAGATAAGCGTCTCGTCATACCCCTAATTAATTAGCAAATAGCTACCAATGTTGTTGAGTTAAAAATACATGTTAAAACAGTGTATGAATTATTAAAGACATTTTCATATTATGCGTCATTGTGGGATTGGCAATATGACCAAAATCATATTTCATGATAAGACATTTTAACATTAACACCAAGTGCGTAAATTCAGTTCTGTTCAGTAGGCTTATTTAAAGTAAACTGGATTATATTAGAAGTGTTTACAGAATGATCAGATGATTTGGGTTTATATTTTTCACATTTATTAATAAATTGACATTTATCAATTTTACAACAAATAACATGCTTTTTTGAATGATACATGTCATTGAAAGGTCATTTTAATACTACTAATAAAAATGATTTATGTGACAGTACAATAAGAACTGAATATAGTTTGAGAAAAGCACAGACACACACTGTCACTCATCGTGACTCACTCACACACTGATTTTTCTGTCTGTATGAGGATTCATTACACACATTTATTCTGACATTATTTTACTGTAGTATCACTGTAATGAAGAGACAATAAGAGACTCTAAAACATCTCACTGTTACTGGTTTATCAAGCGGCCCAAAGCATTATGGGTAGAATCTCTCTACAGTCTGTTCTCACTCATCAACACAGTTTCACTGATGATCCATAATAAACCCTAAACCCATGATAGAGTGTGTGAGTGAATGTGGTCTGGACTGTGTGTATGAGGCTCATTGTGTCAGAGACGCTGTAGAAGGACAGAGTTCCTGCACTGTGATCCACATACACTCCTATTTTACTGCTGATGGGCTTTACAGGGAGTTTAGTCTCTACGTTATTGTGTATGAATGAGTATTTGGAGGAAGAGCAGGACAAACTCCAGGACTCATCATTATTTCCAAACACACACTCATCACCCGATCCCTTCCTACTGATGCTCTTATATGACACTGATATATACACGCATCCGCTCCACTCAATCTCCCAGTAACAGTATCCACACACACTCTCTCTACACAACACCTGCCACTCATCATCAAATCTGTCTGGATGATCAGGATACGGCTGAAGCTCTGTGCGAGTGTCAGTAATCACTCTGTTGTTCTCAGACAGACGGAGGAATTTATTCACTGTGTTCAGATCCAGAGTGAACTGACGATAATCTGATGGGGAGAAAACACATTAGTGAATTACAGAAACTTTATATCTTGAGTCTTAATTTCAGATCTGACAAGTTAATTTAGGATTTTGAGCAACCAACGATAATAAAGCACTAAAGAAATGTCATTCCCTTTCATAGTCACTACGAGAACTTGCACGCAGCTTTTTAAAGATGCATTGAAAATGCACATGCACTGCTGTTGGGGATGAACATTGCTCGGTGCGTGTGGGCTAAAAGACGCGCTCGGGCAGCGTTCATGGATGCGTCATGTTTTCATTGACTGGGAACATGACCAACACAATTTCACGGTCGAGACTCAATGACCTCATCAGAGCAAGAGTCCCCTCAGAGGTCCCGTTCAGAGGATGCTGGCTGGCCCAGCATCTCGGGGCGGCAGTGGTTCATGTAGGTTGGTGGTTCAATCCCTGGTTCCACCTGACCCAAGTTTCAAGGTGTCCATGAGCAAGACACCTAACCCCAGCTGCTCCCGACGAGCTGGATGACGCCTTGCATGGCTGACACCGCCTTCGGTGTATGTATGAATGGGTGAATGCAAGGCAATGTGTAAAGCGCTTTGGTGGCCATGGGTCTGTTTAAAGCGCTATATAAAACATTCAGTGCTTATGCAGAGGGATACTTGGACGTGTTGCATTGAACAATGGCGGTGTTAGCTGCCGCTGCTCAGGGAGGGAATTTTAAAACTTTTAGTACTTCTAAAGCTTCCTGCACTTATAAATGCATGGATCCATCTATGAACTGTTTTAAACCATTTTAAGGAGCCACTCTGACCTGTGTATCCACGCTGAATCGGCAGGCTTGTACGCTGGTTTTGATCTACGTGTTGATCCTCTGTGCGGTTGCCTGTTTGCCAGCCAGTTACTGACAATTCTTCGTGGTACCTCTGGCACTTGGATCAACTATGAAGATCACTGAGCTACTGGTGCGGATGAACTACATCTGGGTCGTCCTTTCTGCTATATACTTTTCTGTGGCATGGACGATGCTACTGTATTTGTCGGCGGAACTTACTCAGCTCCGTTTGCGTCCTTTTAATCTTCCGTCAGCTCCACATCTTCCCTTGGATTTTGTGTACATACCACGTCGGAAATATATACATCGCGGGTCTCGGTGGAGTTACAACATAGATGGCTCATGACAAATACGGTCCTTCTGGTCATCTAAGCCACGCCCACTGAGGAGGCTCACACGGACTGTCAATCACAGTGTATTAACCAACCTGGCCAGATCGGTTGGCAACGAATCTGGTAAAAACAAGTTTTCTTTTGGATTATTTAATATATGATCTCTCTCCAATAAAGGACCTCTGGTGTACGATCTACTGTCTGACTGCGAGTTTGACTTTCTCTGTCTAACTGAGACATGGCAGAAACCAGATGACTTTTTTCACCTAAACCAGTCTGTTCCCCCAGGATACAGTTACGTTTGTAAATCCTGTGATACTGGATGGAGAGGGGGGCTAGCAATACTTTATAAAGAGAAATTGAAAGTGTCTCAATTAACTTTGTCTACATAATCCTCTTTTGAAATAATTGCCTTAAAAATCAATGGTGCAATTCCTACCATCCTCACAACTATTTACCGTCCTCCCAAGAGCAATAATGCCTTTTTAACTGAACTATCTGAACTTTTGACTCATCTATCTTCCATGTCTCCAAATGTAATCTTTCTGGGTGATTTTAACATTCATATAGACAATGTCAGTAATGCATTTACATGTAAATTTTTAGCATGTTTGGATTGCGTTGGTATGCAACAATTTAACACACTGCCCACTCATACTAAGGGGCATATTCTTGATCTTGTTTGCTGTTCTGGTGTAACACCTTATAATTGTACCGTTTCTGATCTGGCCATGGGCCACCCATGGGCTCTCGTCGGCCTATGTCACAGAGTTCTCTGATGACAGTGTGTGCCGCCCAGGGGCCGCACCACTCTCGTCTCCCTCTGTCACCAGACCTCTGGCAGAGCAGCCACCCGTGGAATACTGGTCCTTCCCTGGCCTCCTCTGTCAGGCATCACAGAGGGGACGTCTGCAATTCGCTTGACCCTGCTGGCACAGTTCTTGGGAGCCTGGCTAGAGTTTCCTACCTGTTCCCCTGGGTTGCCCGAACCATCAGACTTGGCTATGCGATTCAGTTCACACGGCCTCCTCCCCGCTTCAGGGGAGTCCGCCTCACTATGGTTGGTGGCAATGCTCCTATCATGAGAGCAGAGGTTGCTACCCAACTGGCGAAGGGTGCGATCGAGACTGTCCCTCCAGCCAAAGGGAGGTCCAGGTTTTACAGCTCCTACTTCCTGCGCGTCTTGAACCGCTCCCTTCTTAGGCTACCGTTCAAGATGCTCATGGCCATACGGATTTTCGAATGTGTGCGGCTGCAGGATTGGTTTGCAGCGATCGACCTAAAGGAACCCCAATTTCATGTCTCTATTCTTCCTCGACACAAGCCATTTCTTCAGTTTGCTCTCGAGGGGCGGGCATATCAGTATGGCCGTTTCTCCCATTCGGCCTGTCTCCTCGCGTCTTCACGAAGATCGCCGAGGCAGCCCTTGTTCCTTTACGAGAACCCAGGGTTTGCATACTGAACTATCTCGACGACTGGCTAATCCTAGCTCCCTCTCGAGAGTAGGTTTGCGGACACAGGGACCTAGTTCTCCGGCACCTAGCTCTTCTGGGCCTTCAGGTCAACTGAGAGAAGAGAAAACTTTGCCCCGTGCAGAGGATCTCTTCTGGAATTTGATATGGAAATCGACTCATTCGTCATGTCCGCGCAGCTTATGAGCGTGTGCGCGCAGTCACTGCTGACTTGCCTAAGACAGTTTGAGAGCAAGAATGCGGTTCCACTGAAGTTATTTCAGAGGCTCCTGGGGAATATATGCCATCCGTAGCCGCAACAACACCGCTTGGATTACTTCATATGAGACCGCCACCCATCCTGGCTTCGCGACCAAGTCCCGAGGTGGACAAGGCAACATGGCATGCTCCGAGTACCAGTTACTCCGACCTGCCGTCAGACCTTCACCCTGTGGTCGAACCTCAGCTTTCAACGGGCCAGAGTGCCCTTGGAATGAGTTTCCAGGCATGTTGTTGTCTCAACAGTTGCTTCCAACATGGCCTGGGGCGCCATGTGCAAAGGACATGCTCCCGCGGGCTCCTGGACAGGACCCCAGCATCTTTGGCATGTCAATTGCCTCGAGTTGCTGGCAGTACGCTTTGCTCGACACCGCTTTCTTGTGCTGCTCAGGGGTCAAAAAGTACTAGTCTGCTCAGACAATACCGTGACAGTAGCGTACATCTACTAACAAGGTGCTCTACACTCCCACCGTGTTTGCGACCTGTTTTATTCCCTGACCGAGGGCATGCTTGGTTTGAGTGCCCTACCACCTACGGTGGTGGCTACCATCACTTCAGCTAGAGCACTGTCCACGAGACATGCCTATCCGTTGAAGTCGAACCTCTTCGTCAGCTGATGCTTGACGAGAAGAGCATCAGCTGTCAATGAGGTTCGACTTCAACGGATACGCATGTCTCGTGGACAGTGCTCTAGCTGAAGTGATGGTAGCCACCACCGTAGGTGGTAGGGTACTCAAACCATGCATGCCCTCGGAGATGCGCTATGCAAATTCTGAAGACCCATGGCATTTCTTTGCCATTGGATCGTTTTTTAATACTTGAAATTGATAGGCTTTCTAAGCGAAACCCCATTCGTCGTCACAATGTAACGTCTCAATGTAATGTTTCCCTACTCAGGATCATCAGAAGTGCACTTTCCCCAAATATTTCAGCATGTGTCAATTTCACTATATACAGTATATATATATATATATATATATATATAGAGAGAGAGAGAGAGAGAGGGTGTGTGTGTGTGTGTGTAAGTGAGAGCGACAGTATGTGTGTGTGTATTTGTGTGTGTGTGTGTACATGTAACATACATTTTCGTACTCCTGCTTCAATCCTGATCTCTCCTCCATGATCCACACTACAAAACACACACAGTGACAGTTAATCAGTAATCACACTCTCTCTCTCTCACACACACACTCTCTCTTACACACACACACACACACACACACACACACACACACACACACACACACACACACTTTAGGGTTCCCACGGATCCTTAAAAAGTCTCAAATTTTATTTTTTAAATTTAAGGCCATAAAAAGTCTTGTTTTTACTTATGAATGGCCTTAAATTTTTCATGACACTTCGACTTAGACGTATCTTAATGCTTTCCAAATTAAAACTATCTAATTACCGATCGAATTACAGTTTTTTTATTCACAAATAAGGTGTACATTTTCAAAACTCTTCAAAAATCCAAACTGATCACACTTGTAAAGCAGCTAGTCATTCTTTCAAAACCTGATGTAATGCTTTCAGACAGTTGCACATGTTTTCAGTCCACATAATCGTTTCAAACAAGATTATTGTAATATGCAATGAGAAATTTGGTTTAATCACAGAAACACAACAGTGTGATCTACTTTCAGTTTAGTACTTTTAACAATTAGTTCATCCAACAGCAAACAATGCAAGATACATGTTTCAAATCGGCCTTAGAAGTGCTGAAATTGATATGCTACAGTACTATAAAAGACAGATTACACAGTTTGACAACGTTTCCGTTTCGTTTTCTGCGCTTCGTTGTAAGCACAGGAAACGAAAGGAGAAAGAGAGGAGTGATTTCTTCAAGAATCCCTTCAAACACGCAAGGCAGCTGCTGGAGGATAGGAGGAGTGGGAAGTTGGAGACAACAAAGGAGGAGCTGGAAAGGCATTCCAGTCAGCCGTTCAGTGATGCTGGTAGACTGACTCCTCTGGGTTCCCCGGGTATGTTTGGAATATGAGGGAACTGGACTTACCAGCTAACATGCGAAGTATCATTTTAAAAATTCCTTACAAACTAAGAGAAAAATGGAGGAATATTGCGTGTGATCTGCAAGAAAGAAGTGGACAGAGGGCTACATTCATTGATCTTGTCAATTCTATTGAGAGACAAGTGAAAATTGTTTTAGATCCAGTTTTTGGAAACATTTAAGATCCTCAACATCCTAATGTCAAGGCCTCCTGTAGCAGTCAGCTACGACAAAGAAGGAAGGGAAGCAGCTAGGTTACGAATGTCACTCCTGTGAGGGAAGAAGGTATGGCACGGCCTGCAGAATATAGCACAACCTCCACTCATTGCTGTCTTTTCTGCCTGTAGAGAAACCACACACTAGGTCAGTGCTCACGGTTTAAAGCCAAGACACACCAGGACTATATCAACTTCATTAAGGACAAAGGTATTTGTTTTGGTTGCCTGAAGGAAGGCCACACAAGCAATGAATGTAGGAGTCGATTGGATTGCCATGTATGTCATCAGAAACACCCCGGGGTCCTTCATGTAGAAAGACAGGATAAAGGCACATCTGTAGGACAAGCCAAACATCCTGTGAGCCTTTCAAGTGATTCGACCGTAACCTTTCAGACGTGTGGCCATATTGGGGCCGGTGTGGAAGATGATTCTGAGGTCAGAAGCTGGTATTTTATCTGTTCCAACATTCAGACTGAGGCAACATTCAGGCAGTTCCGGCACATTCTCTACAGAAACCATGGCGAAAAGGTTAAATTTGCAAGGTAAGAAGACAAGCATTTTGTTGAGAAAAATGGGCTAAAGAAAGGTTGTGAATGCTCATGTTTTGTCAGGTCTGGAAGTGTCTGGCATGGGTGCTGAAGATTTCATAGAGCTTCCTGATGTTTTGACTCAAAGAACTATACCCGTGTCTTAACCCTCTGGGGTCGGCTATCGCGCCAGCGCGACGAGCTCGATTTTTTCCTTATCAGTGCAAAAGAGACTGTTGATTTTGATCTTACATATAAGTGTTGTACATCATTAGATCCTGTTAAGTGTGTTTTTTGTGTGGATACTCACAATAAAAACAAAGTGTTGTGCTTTTTGTCAAATAAAGAAAAATAAACATGATGCGAGTTTTGCCTTCTCCCTGTCAGTGAAGTCCATTCTGAAACGTGATCACGGAAACTAGGGACACAAGTCGGTTTTGGAGCATTTTGAGTTATTCATAGATTCTGAAAGTGTAGTCTCCAAGCTTTCCAACAATGTGTAACACGTGGAAATCTGATAATATTTGGAGAAGTTGTGGCCATTTGAAGGTAGGCACTTTAAAAAATAAAAGGTTACAGTAGATAAGGGCCTCTAAAGATTGTGCAGTTCTCACCTCTCTCTGCTGCTAGTGACAATAGGGCTCATTTACATCTCATTTAGATAAGCCATACCCCCTGTAAAGCTCCCCCCTGTGCTTTACAGCTTTTTTTCTTTCCTGAGTTAGCCAATAACAATACGTAGGTAAGGGAAGGTCTAAACATGGACTAAACATGAGATAACCGCTCTTTTTATTATTAAACGCTTCCCGCAATTTAGCAACAGTAGAGACTGCATTTTACAATAATCACTGATCGTGCTGATTCTGTCTTAAAGTTTGAGTTTTAAGGCGAAGAGAAGGAAGTTGCGCTAGACAGGATGCGGCTATATTTTTTAATGGTTTTAACTCAGCTCAAATATATTCTATTATCTTTGAAAACCAAAATCTAAAATAAAATCATATATATAAATATCACAGATCTAAAGTGTAACCATATAGGCTACGTTTGAATATTTATTTCTGTCCTCTGTCGTCACTCATTAAGCAGGGCTGTCGTGTTGTGCGTGCTGTGGCACCTATCTATCTCCCTCTCTCTCTCTCTCTCTCTCTCACACACACACACCATAGGATTTCCGCACACGGCGAACATGTTGGCAGCTCAATGCTATTCTGCTAGCTGGCTGCAAACTGCGGAATGGATTTCCTGAACGGGGGTCTGTGTGTCTCATTGAGCCGCGCCTCTGTTCAGGAAATCCATTCCGCAGTTGGCAGCCAGCTAGCAGACTAGCCGGCGGGAATCACTTTTCAGTCATTTCAGCAGACAACGTCAAAGCGCAGACATGGCTCATGGATATCGGATATCTCTGCAGGTTGGATCGGGAAAATCCAATACGTGAATTACGCTGATATCGGCCCCGATACTGATACTGGATCGGATCGGCCCCATCCCTAAGCACATTATATCATCAGCAGATTCAGCATCTTAAATAACGACTAAAGAGCAAATTAAGCTTAACTTACGTTTCAGAAGCGCGCATGGCAGGCCTTCATCGCAGCAAAGGTCTTCACGGCATCCTCTATTTCGATTCTCTGTGCCAGTTCATGTTCTAAGGAGATTGTTGCCAGTCTATTAAGTCTGTTCCCTATTCACAAAACGTTCTCCATTCAATCGGGATGTCACATATGAAACAGCCAGCCACCGCTGTCAGCAAGCTGAGCCGCCGTATTCAAGCACCGAGGGTGCGCGCGCCATGCCCATACCTCTGGTTCAGTTTACCGAGCCCACAAAGTGCGGCGATCGGAACCCGGAGGCCATTCTGCCCCTAGCTGTACATGTAAAGGCATGGAAAGCGATTCCAGGGATATCAGAATGCAAAGGGGCCATAGAACCGGTACCTCCTTCTTTGAGCGAGTCAGGCTTTTACAGCCGGTTCTATGGCCCCTTTGCACAACAGTTTCACTATTTCAGCGCGGCTTGTCGAAGTACTACTTAAAAACATTTTCGGTGTAACTGCCATGGTTCAGCTCGTCTGCGACAATCTTTGCAGCTTCCATCTTCATTGAATTTTGATATCAGATAGAGCCGGCCAGAGCGCAGCATAATAAGTAGCCATGCTGTTCACTTGGAGTGCGATGGCAAAAGCGCCGGCTTATCCAGTATGGAAGTACACACAGACAATGACATGCCACGCCCCTACTGCATGCTAGAATCTCTGAAAACAAGCCGATTTCAACCTCAAAATGTAAGCTTTTAAATATACCAATACTGCTATCTCAAACATGGAGAGGCGTCTTCATGATTTCAACAGATTCTGCAAAAAATTAAAATTCACCAATTTTGAAATTTTGCGTGTATGCGTGTATGTCTACGCCATTAATGTCTGAGTGATTCCGCGTGTATGTACACACTGTTAAAAGTCCGAGCGAAACGAAGCAAAATGTAGATCTACATCTGGGGAGCAATATTTTTTTCCCTAGGATGGTAGGGGAAGACTAATGGTATTAACCCTAGTGACGGGTAGGTTTAGGGACGGGCTTGAGGTAAGTCATATATTTATATATACAGTAATAACATTAAGTCAACGGGTTCATAAATACGCTGAAAAGTGATTATGCGTGTTGATAACATGCCAAAAATGAAAATATATGAATTGGCGTGTCACACTTACGCAATTTCATGAGATCAGTCTGGATTTTTGATGAGCGACGTACATTGGAGGATGTGAGGACGTGATTGGAGGAAGCTGTGGGGATTTAAGCAGCATGATTGCATAGACCAGGGTGTGTGTGGAGGCTGCATACTCCTAGTCATGTAATTTATAATAAAGTGTAACTAGTTTGTAATAAGTGAATATTGTAATGGTGTTTTTGAAGTTTAATGGAAGCTATTCCTGCTCTACATACTTGAGTTTTTCCAGTCTGTAGTTTGGATCCTTGAGTTTATCAGAGAGCAGCTTGACTCCTGAATCTCCTGGGTGGTTGTAGCTCAGATCCAGCTCTCTCAGGTGTGAGGGGTTTGAACTCAGAGCTGAAGACACATGACCACAGCCTTCTTCTGTCACCATACAGCCAGACAATCTACAAAGACATACAGCAACAGTCCACATCACATTAGTTTGGCAAACAGATGTTACTATCACACACTGACCTTGGCAGCGTTTCCCAATAGAATCAAAAGTTTAAGATGATCGTAGAGACTATATGTGACAGTTGTTCTACAATCAACTTACAATGCCTTCTGGAGCTGTTTCTTTGGATTCAGCTTTTCAGCTTTTCATTAGGTATTACTTATTTTTAACTGTTAGCAGTAATTTCAAGTTGAATTTAAAATATATAATTTACATTTAGACAAGAAACATTAACAGTCATACAAATAAGAGTGAATGAGTGAATCTTAAAATAAATTATTATTTGCAAGTATTTAAAATGCATTAATTTACAATGAATTATAGTTGCTAATAAATTCTTAATTTCCCGTAAATATCTTCAAAGAAATTGTTTAATATATTTATTGAACTTTTACAATAATACCAGGATACATGTAATGGAGAAAAGGGGAAAAAAAATATATGAAACTCATAACATCTTTAGGCCAGTCATCAAAGGATGGAGCATGGAGGGAAGTTTTGTTTCCATAGCAGAAGAATGCGCCGTCTAGCTAATAATGTCGAGAAGCCATTTCCAGACAAGCCAGTGACATTTGGAGAAAGTCCAAAAAGTGCAACCAAAGGGCAAGGTTCAATCTGTCTCTTTGTCACTAAAGAAAAACAGTTAAAGATTGATAGCCAAAAAGAAGTTAAGGATGGACGTAATCAAAACCTATGTAATAAATCAGCAAGGGTGTGATTGCAACGACCACAAAGAGGATCAACACCAGGCTTGACTTTTGCCAACCTCACTTTTGTCCAGTAAATTCGATGAATAAATATAACCAGAGAAGAGGTTAAAGGAATTAATAATTCTCAAAACTTTGGGTAAAGAAACATACGGACCAGAGATATAGAGCAACACATCATCGGCATATAATAAAATTTTGTAAACAGCACCAGCTCTCCTAATTCCCTGTATGGCTTGCTTACTACGAATAGCAATTTCCAAGGGTTCAATTATCAATGCAAAAAGCAAAGGTGAAAGTATCTCCAAAAAGATATCTAATTAGGTTTTTAATGAAACACAAAATTATTTCTCAGAGAGCAGTAGAGAATTAAATCTTCAACTTCTAGAACCAAACATCTTATTCTGAAACTGAAGAGAAAGTGAAAGTGGAGCATGGTCAGATATAAGAATGCTGCCATATGAACAGGCCCTCACTTTAAACAACAATTTATTGTCTAAGAAAAGTAATCAATATGAGAGTAATTATGGTGGACATGAGAGAAAAAAAATTGTATTGCCGTGCTGTGGTAAATGAAAAAACATACATCAGCTTGACTGCAAGAAGTTAAAAGTGACTGAAGTGTAATTGCAGTTTTAGAGAGTTGAGCAGGTTTAGTGGATGAGCGGTCTAGAGAAAGGTTCAGAGAACAATTAAAATCACCTCACATAATAAGGTAATGTGAATTTAGGTCAGGGAGAGATTATTTTCTGAATAAAATTTTCATCATTGTAATTTGGTGCCTTTATATTAGCCAGAGTCATGGTTAACCCTCTGGGGTCGGCAAACGCACCAGCGCATTAGCAGCAAAATAGACTTAAAATACTAAATTCCTGGTCATACATACTTAATAAATATGAAAAAAGAATGAATAGGGTGTGCTTTCTGTCTCTCCTTCTCCGTGAACTTTTTTTCTGGAGCACAATTCTAAATTTAAACAAAACAAAACTCATTGAATACTATTCACCAAGGCATGAACAATATATCTTTATAACCATTTAAGAGTGTACTTTTAAATTATCTAATTCAAGACTAAAACAAATATCCTCTGTTTATGTAATCAATATAAAAAGAGAGAGATGTAAGTTGTTCTAATTTCAGCTCATTACAGCTCGTTATCTGTTAATGTGACCACACCCACGGAGAGAGCGCTATTCAAACGCAAATGATCTAAGGCAAGTCATGCAATCACCCACACCAGCTCGATAAAACACACCAAGTTTAATCATATTACAGTACTATGTCGTCTTGCGAGGCTGTGAGGAATAATCCTGGTAAATTTGCCTTAGAAGTGCTGGTTTAGTATAATTTCAAGGAGCATCGGATCCAGTTGAGGATTTTAAATAGTATGTTTTCTTTTTTTTATTCTTAAGTGCTTTGTTCTCATTGCGATATGCAATAGTGTCTGTAAACCGCAAAAAGAACATGAATATGTTCAAATATGAATCATGTGTGTGAATGAATGAACAGCACAGAAACATACTGTTGTTTATTATGTTACAGATTTTTGTTGACTAGTTTTAACTAGTTTTTTTGGATAAAGTTTTTACTGTAAAATAGACATCAAATAAGCTTTTGTTAGCCAGTTTCTGCTCATATGTTAAATGTATAGTATGTTTTGTCAAAAATAAACTAATCACCTAAGATGTTATTATAGTGTTTGTTTCAATATATCAAACGAATGAATCCTTAACTTTGAAATATGTATGATAAAATGTATACTTTTAAAAAGAAAGATTAGAAAGATTAGAAAGAAAGATTTAAAAGAGAAATTTTTTTAAATTGTAACATGTGAACATTTTTTAATAAAACAGCAAAAATATATATTTACAAGGTAGATGTAAAAAAATCTTAATAGATCTTAATCCTTCTCATTCAATTATTTATTATTGTTTTTTATTAGTGATTGTTTATTATTAGTTATTTGGGGAGAGGGTATATTCCAAAACTTTCTGAAAGTACAGTATGAAAATTAACCACACAATTACTAGAAATGTTTAACATGGCTATAATACAATTTGCTTGTATAAAGAAATTGTGTGAAAATACTTTTTTTCCCCTTTGGATCTGTAGGTATTTGATGAAATCTTTACTTTCCAATTTGTATTTGCTCTGTAATTGTTTGAATGCGGGAAATATATTTCAATAAATAAATCTTTTTATACACCAAATACCCGTATGTTTCCACTGAAGAAATGTTGTGTTTAAGACTGATGTGAAAATGTGTGATTATTTATTAATGGACTTAAAGCAGATGCGCCTCTCCATCCGTAATGTTTTCTAATCTGGGACCAGATTTTAACTGAATTAGAAACTACTGGTTCTCAAGTTTTTGTTTTGAAATAGGCAAAGCTGAATAAAGTAATGCTTTTAACGAGGAGGGATAACAGCTTTCATTCTCCATTCAACTCCAATCAGCCCCCTGAGCGGATAACCGAAAGGACATAGAGCGGAAATTACATGACCAGTAATAACGTCGAAAACAGGGTAATCACATTCTTCCCAGACAAATTGGTCTTCGCAAGAACACTTTCTTGATTCTTGGAGTTTTTCCATTCCATATAAAATATGACATGAGGGAATCGATTTTATTAAAAATGCCTTGGCTATCCAAATAGGAATACATTTGAACAAGAACAGAAGTATAGGCAGAATATTCATTCTAATAACATTTATTCGACCTGCTAATGAAATTGGTATGTTCCTCCATGTATCTATATCCTTTTTCGTTTGATCACATAATTTCAAATAGTTGTGCTAAAAGAGGCCGTAAAATTCCTGCGTAATATTTATCCCAAGATATTTAAATTCAGTTGATAGTGAAAAGGGGAAGATATTAAACACTTTAGTTTTCATACAGACTTTAGAATTAATTGGGAATAAGGTACTTTTTGATAAGTACAATTTGTAACCCGATACTGCTCCAAATTCCTTTGGATAATTTCCATTACAGGAACAGATTTAGCAGGGTTTGAAATAAAAAGTAACAGATTGTCCGTTCCGTTTTTCCTCTTTTAATCCCACTGCATTCATCCGTTGCACGTAATAAAAGAGCCAGGGGTTCAATGGCTATTGCAAAAAGTAATGGCAAGAGCAGGCAGCCCTGTCTAGTCGATCAGCTAAGAGGGAAATAATTTGAATGCACATTGTTAGTCCACACTGAAGCCTGGGGTTGAGCATATAATAATTTTACCAAAGATATAATTTTTGAGCCAAATCCAAACTTTGACAGGGTTGAAAATAGATAATCCCACTCGACCCTGTCAAAAGCTTATTCCGCATCCAATGATAGTAAAATTTCAGGATGTAGATTCTTTTTGTCCTGACAGTGAATTATATTTAATAATTTCTTATATTAAAAAAAACAACTGTCTGTTTTTGATATACCCAGTTTGGTCCTGTAAAATGATTGTCGGCAAGATTGTAGTGTATATTAACTCCAGTTCTGTCTGCAGAGCCAGCTTTTTCTTATGCAGAACTACTGAAGGACTAGATGAATATTGTCTATCCGTTTCTGTTATTTCTTCTTTTAGTTGAGTTTCTCTTTCCCTTTGTTGCTTATTTTTCAGGCTTTTCCATGAAATTACTTGGCCTCTAATATGTGCCTTTTGTGCCTCCCAGAGGGTGGATTTTGTGACGTCAGGAGTGTCATTAAATGATAAATACAAATGTATTAAATGTCATTAAATGATAAATACAAACTTAATTTCCTTCTTTCTATTATGATATGCTGTTATCTCCAGCTCCTCGATGTTTGATTATATCCAAAGGCTACATGCATAGTTAGAGGACTATGATCTGACAACATTAGTGTTTCATAATTGCAAGGTTTCATTTGCTGAAGCAGTTTACCGTCTATTAAAAAGTAATATATTCTGGTGTATAAGTCTGATGAACTGGGGAGTAATAAGAATATTTCTGTGTGTTGGGGTGCAGGGTTCTCCATGGATCTATTATTTTATAAGTATTCATGAATTTCTTATCACTTTCTGCCATTTTAGTCACACTAACCGGTCTACGTGATGACCTATCAAGGTCAAAATCAAGTACTAAATTGAAATTTCCCCCAATTATCAATTGATGAGAATCCATGTTGGGTATTTTTGATAACAATGAGTTTATAAATCGTTCATCATCAACGTTGAGCACATATACATTAACTAATGTGATCAAATTATCATAAAGTTTACCAGTAACAATGATG